AAATCTTTCTAAACACTACGATAATGTTCTTTAATAAATCTTTCTAAACACTATGATAATGTTCTTTAATAAATCTTTCTAAACACTATGAGAATGTTCTTTAATAAATCTTTCTAAACACTACGATAATGTTCTTTAATAAATCTTTCTAAACACTGTGATAATGTTCTTTAATAAATCTTTCTAAACACTATGATAATGTTCTTTAATAAATCTTTCTAAACACTATGAGAATGTTCTTTAATAAATCTTTCTAAACACTATGATAATGTTCTTTAATAAATCTTTCTAAACACTATGATAACGTTCTTTAATAAATCTTTCTAAACACTAGGATAATGTTCTTTAATAAATCTTTCTAAACACTATGATAATGTTCTTTAATAAATCTTTCGAAGTATGCTAAATATAAACACAGGGCGAAGTATTTTACACTCAAACAGTAAAAGTTTCATAAACTGTATTGAAAATTATGTTGTAATAAACTCTGTCTTTCAAAATAAAAATGACCAATTTACCTCCATATCCGATCTGAATAGCTAACTTTGTAAGTTTAGCCTGAAGTACAGACTTCTCTTTCCTGGGATTGTTTTCGGAATCTTTGGACTCCTTTGGAGCATCCATCGAGATAGGTTCCAAACTGTGGCTGTTGGCAGTGGTTGCATTCATAAGGTTTGGGTTTCCAGTGACTGCTGCCTCTTCATCTGTTTACAACACACCCAAAAATAAAATACACATACACACATACATCTATAGATGGGTAAAACTTCCTACCTTCTTATTTGCTACAATATCTGGTGTCACTGCTGAATAAAGGATTTGGGTGAGAAATACACAACTTTGACACACCCCCTCTCCCAGTTCATTTTTCATGTGTTTTTTTTTTTTGCATTAGGTGCAAACTTTCTGAGAAATACGTATGTAATTTCATAAAATTGAAGCTTTAGTTAAAAATTGTGAAAATTTATGTAACTATTAACTCACCACCTAGTGTCATTCAATTAGATGCAATAACTTCTATACATCAGCTAATTTTATTTTTTATGTTTTCAGTAACAGATCTATAACAAACCACAAACATGACAGTATACAAAACCCTATGTTTTCAGTAACATATCTATAACAAACCACATGCATGACAGTATACAAAACCCTATGTTTTCAGTAACATATCTATAACAAACCACATGCATGACAGTATACAAAACCCTGTTTTCAGTAACAGATCTATAACAAACCACATAGTGACAGCATATAAAACCCTATGTTTTCAGTAACATATTTATAACAAACCACAAACATGACAGCATACAAAATCCTATGTTTTCAGTAACAGATCTATAACAAACCACAAACATAACAGTATACAAAACCCTATGTATTCAGTAACAGATCTATAACAAACCACATGCATGACAGTATACAAAACCCTACGTTTTCAGTAACAGATCTATAACAAACCACAAACATGACAGCATACAAAACCGTTTTCAGTAACAGATCTATAACAAACCACAAACATGACAGTATACAAAACCCTATGTTTTCAGTAACAGATCTATAACAAACCACAAACATGACAGCATACAAAATCCTATGTTTTCAGTAACATATTTATAACAAACCACATAGTGACAGTATCCTATGTTTTTGTCTATTAGACATTCTTCAACTAGTCAAGATATTGCATTATCACATTTTGTTAGGCTTAGGATATTAATGACGTGCTCTAACTTCTAAAAATAAAGTTATACTGTTTGATAAACCTCTATAAGAGAAAACCAAAATTTATCAACTAACTTTCAAGTAGTAACCAATCCTTAAAGTAATTTGTAGGAACAAAATGTCGTGGATAAAAAACAACAACTCACAAGAACGATTTCGACGTGCAGTGCAGAGAACTTAACACAAATATACACTGTAAAGCAGGAGAAATGATCAACCAAATATTAAATGTAATAACACATACCACCAGCTGAAGTAACAGGAATAGCCAAAGGGGACAATTCCTGGTTATTGTAAGCATCACTATGGCATGCTGCTAATATTATAAAAACAAAAGAAACATCATCAAAACAAGGTAAGGTAAGCATAAACTCATTAAGTATATTATCATGCAAAAGTCAAAAACAGCAAATGTCAAACGTATGTCCATTTTTAATATAGAGTTCACCTGTAACTAAAGTAACTGAATTATAATCCAAACAAATAACAAAGTATTTTCTAGAAATACACTTTAAAATAAAAGGGCAATGTTTTTGTTGTTTAAATTCTGAAACCCCCCAGAAAATTAGTTTCAAAACTTGAAAATAATGCAATTTTCATGCTGTCTGATAACTATTGGAATACATAATCTAGTTGATACAGGTTTAGAAAGCGTTAAGACACAGAGCTGGGTCCCCCGGTGGGACACTGGTAAGTCTTCAGACTTACAATGCTAAAAATCAGGGGTTCGATTCCCCTCGGTGGACACAGCCGATAGCCCGATGTGGCTTTGCTATAAGAAAACACACACAGAGCTGGTGCTACCATTATCTAATAGTTCTTTTTAACACTAGTATTATCTTACAGTTTTTTAACACTAGCATTATTTTATTGTTTTTTTAACACTAGTGTCATCTAATATTTCTTAACACCAGTATTAACTTATAGGTTTTTAACATTAGTTTTATTTAAGAGTTTGTACTAAAATGAGGTATTTTTCAAATTGTATTTTAAAAGTATAAACATTACTTAAAAATAACAGGTAAAAATATCAAGATACCAAACTCGTTATCTTCTAGTACAGACAGAACTGTTTCTAAATGCCCACTAAGTTCATTGAAGCATTTGGTCTAGTTAAAACAACAGTTTTTCGAAATTAAATAAGTTAAAAAAAAAATAATTTGATTCACTAAACACAAGCTACCTCCAAACTGCTATATTGTCTTGTGTTGTCTTGTGTTGTCCTTTAAACTAACGCAAACCAGAGCCATCGCCAGACACTTAAATGATTTGGGGCTCAAGCCCAAACTTGTGGAAATTTCACTACGATATTTATCACGGTTTTATATTCTGATTTGTCAAATAAAATTGGGGCATGAGCTCCATGTTCCAGTGTCTAGCAATGCCTCTGAAACAAACATATAATGAAAAGTAAAGGGCAAGAAAAAGATCGTTCACCTGTGCTGTTTTTCTTCTGCTTTTTCATCTTTTTTGCTTCTGTTGTCGGAAGGAAATTACAATAATATGTAATAATCAGTAAACCAAGACAGTGGAGTATCATCTTTAAATATTGAAACAAAAGTTTAAATTCAAGTAGAACTCTAGAAAAGTTATATCTTTATACAAGTATCTCACATAACCTTTGTTATAACAGGCTTCATCTTTAGTATCTTTACAATAAACAAATTCTTCCAAAGGTTTTCATAGAAATTATTTGATTCATAATAAAACTAGATTTTCAAGAAACACAAACAGTTTTAACAAAATAGAAAATGTGTTTTAAAGTCAGTAGGATAAACGAAGGTTCTTGGTTAAGAAACAAACTGATACGTCGAGCTACGTCAAAATTAGATTTGATCTTCATACATCTTCCTTTCACATGACAATAAAACAAAAAAAGGGAAAGTATACAAGACAGACTTACCTTCATAAAACGATGGTATAATTTTATATTTTTTAAATAGTTTATTGTTCAGTATTTTCAAGGCATGAGTCTTTTAAAGCTCTTTCGTTAAATTAGCCTTCCTCTCAGAAAAGTGGGAGAATGTATAAAATCTAATCCAGAACCCCCAAGAGCTTCCAGGGGTTCTGGACCCCAGTTGTAAGGGGGGGAGCCCGTGGTGCACATACCTCGGTCAAGTAAACCTTGGCCTCCTCCCACAGCTATGTATATAAAATGCATTATGCCAAACCTTTTTTCTTTTTCTTCTTTTCCTCTTCAGTTTCTGATGAAGATGCTCCCAAAAGAGTAAAGATAACGCCTGCCTGAGAACTTTTACCAACTGCAGTTACCACCATTTTGCCACTCCCTTCCATTACATGTGTCCCTAGTGGATTATAAAGTGGAACATGAAAATATTGTATAAACTTTCATGACAAAGTATACAGCCTTCCGTAATTGTGGGATTAAATACCAGTACACTGTACAGTACGAAATACCAAGATGTAAAACTTTTTATAAAAATAAACTGTGGGATTAAAAACGTGTACATTGTATAGTATTTGATGCCAAGATCTCAACGTTTTTATATTCAAAATGACTGATTCTCAAATCATCATCTTTAAAATCTACAATACCAGAAAAGTAAAGTTATAATGAGTTACTAAAACAATTACCTTAACCAAAACATTCATGTTATACAGAAAAAAAAATGGATTTTGAACAATGATCGGTTTGTTTTCTTTACATGACTGATTATTTAAAACTTTTTTTTTTCCAGACAATTTTATTTTGGACTGACACCCTAGATTGTAATAACGTTATTAAAACTTTGTTAAAAAAAACAACTAACACACTCCACTTAAACTGGTTTGGTTAGAAACAAGACTGATTTTAAAATTTGCCAAAAACGCACTTTTTTTTTCATATCTGATAAAAACTACAAAGAAACAATTGCTATAAGTTATATAAAAGTGTGGTTTGGAAATCCTGAAAATTTGTTCCTTGTTTGTATTGAAACTTGATTTTTAGCATTACCTACAACTCAGCAAGTTCAGTTAACTTTTTTTCCCAGGAAAGTAACGTTGTACTCCACAGTTCACTCATGAAGACTTAATAAAATATATGATTAAACTGTTTATGATGTCATAATTAACAGTGAACTTTTCAATCTTAATTTCACTTGACGTACCTGAATATAACATAGGATCATATTTTTCTCCCTTCTTTACATGATCAGACTCCCCTGTCAAGGAACTTTCATCAATTTTTAAATCATTGCTTTGAATTATAATTCCATCTGCAGGTAGAAGATCACCTACAAAACAAAGATAATAAAAACCCGAACAACACTTTTTGTTAAAATAGTTAATTTATAACAGCATCTGAAGGTTATACCATCTTAATTATATCAAAATAATTTTAAAAAATTAATAATTTGTAATGATGTTTTCTTTTTTACATACTTTAATAACATAAAATTTAAACTTCTTAAAAGTTATGTTGGTTTTAATAACGGATTTTCCATAATTCAGCTATGCAGATTTCGAAAATAATATTAATTTTTTGTATAATATAAGGATTTTTCACAAATCGAGAAAAACAACAACTCTTACTTAGATCAAATTATTATTTCGTTTACCACAATGAACATTTTTTTTTTTTATGTTTGTTAACGAAAATACAAAAACTAAAGAAAAGGGAAGAACACTGATGTCAAACGAATATGTATCCTCATTCATCCCAAATTTTTTTAAGAAATCTACGTCTCAAAACTATGTGTTGTGGTCTTTCTTTTATCTATTGCATTATGACCTTTTGTAGAAAAACTCTAGTATGTAGAGTAGGAAGAAAATTACGGATTAATCTTAGTTTTTACGGGTTCTAAGCTAATTACGATTAGGTAAATTTAACTTTAGGAA